TATTATCTAACCTAACCTAACAACAGAATATTAATAAAAAAAATGCAAAATATATAGACATACTATCCGTAACTAACTAAAGCCAAACAATAATATTCTTTGCTAATATCAACTAATACCAATATATGGCAACAGCGCCCTTCATAATGTATTTTCTGTGTAAATACTAGCACCTCAATAAAAAAATAATGTGTCCTTATCTTTATATGACTCCGCAAAAAATCAAAGATGCCGGCTTCTTTCTAGCATTGCCACCGACCGTGTCGGGTTTCTCGGAAAAAACCTACGTCGCCGGGCGACAACTAAAATCCAGTTAATATTTTATTATAATCGATCCTGACGAATAAATGAATGAATTTTATAAATGAATGGTTTTGGCTGCCGAATTACTAGAAATACAATATTTCAAGGCAGATGACGCATCTATTCGATAATTTTTATTCGAATAGTTTTCAACGAATGTTTTTTTACTAGCTATCGAATTATTCGAATGAATTGCAACTATCGAATGTTTCGATAGTATTCATTCGATAGTTCCCACTACTAGCTAGCAGACATGACTATTTCACAATGGCTACACAAAAGGATACTTCACACAAAAAATTAACCATGTAACGATGATAAGGTTTTTTATGTAGCCAGCTCTCAGTCTATTACGCATATTTTAGGCAATTTTACCAGTAATGTTTTGGACAATCTTTTAACTTTCGAACTTGTATGAACTTTTGACACATGCTAAAAGCGAGGTTCATCGAGACAGGGAAGATTTCGACAGACGGCATCCAAAACGTGTGCATTAAAAAAAAAACAGATACAACTGTCACTGTCATGGTCCTCTCATTGGACCGACTATACGTTTTACTAAAGTTTTCTTTCAGATTATTTTTTATTTAGCATGCACACTACTATCACACCATTACAAACACATTATAGATCAACTTTCAATTGGTAAACCCATAAAACTCGTAAATGTAATGTTTAAAAAATATATATTATTTCAATAACTGCGACATTTTTGTTAATATGCAATAATGCTTAAATAAAAACTCTACAATTTGACTTTTTAATGAATGTCCTGTTTTCCAGAAATATACCCAAATGTAGCTTACTAAAAATTTTTGTCAAAATAACACTCTTCAAATTTTATCTCTTTTAAAACTTTTTAAACAGTACATTGATAAAAATATTGCACTATTAAGTACATTTTTACAAAATAATTGAAGCTTGTATTGTTTAAAGGTAGCCACACAGATACAGTTTTTCCTCAAGGCAAAACTGCGCCAACTTCGAGGCTTGAACGAGTGTGTGTGTGCTCGTTCACTTTTTTTTTTTTTCAGTCCATAAACAAAGTTTAGTCTATTATCACAGATTAGGTATCCTATAAGTATACAGATAAAAATATAAGTCCCATAGACTTAAAATAAAATATAGACTACACTATTTACATCTCAACGCTGACAAACATTCTTTTTTGTACACATGTTTACTTCTGGGTCGACCGAGCCTTCCTCATCCAGCCTATGTTGTCACGTCTTTAATATTATTAATATTTTTTTTCTTGTTATACACATATATTGAGATATTAATACTACAGTTTAATAAAGTAGGTTTTAATATTCCATAGATGTATTAAATAGTCCTTATACTACTAAATTATAAGTCGGATACTGTTTAAAAAGGATAAGTTCTTTACAATATGACAACACCGATTAGAGGCGAGGGAGCCTATTCATTCATTTATTACCTTGTAGTAAGTGTCGGACGTGTGCGGTAAAGCTTTGTTGCCGCTATCTCCCCGGCTGTACTAACGCATTTTCTTAGCTTGTAGTCGTTAAGTGTTTTAAGGCGCTTATTTAGATAATATTTTAGTAAAATGTAAAATCTGAATTTTTTCTCTTACATTACATTATTTACTTACTTACATTGTAACAAAATCATAATTATAACCCTGTTAATAATTAATAATGTTTTTATTAAAAATATATTCCGGTTTGTTCTAAAATTATCTTCAGAATCTAAAATAAGATACAAGAATTTTAATATGATATTACATTATGAGACAATATTTTTTAATATACCGGGTCGTCTCAAAAGTGGTTCACCGCTATAACTTTTTTATTTTTTCAGATAAAAAAACAGATTTGTATGTTAGTAGGTATATGACATAAATTAGGATTTATTGACGTATTCAATTGTTTTTGGTCTCTTTCTGTTTCACCGAAATGATTACATCTTTTGATTTTTAAAGGCACCCTCGGTATATTTCTACTTTATTCGATAGAAAATGATAATAGAATTCTGAATAGAATGACATATCATATGTCAACTTTTGACATTGTCGCTTAAAAACAAATCGTATTATAAATTTCAATCCAGGGTGCCATGGTGTTGTTAAAAACACTAAGTTTTAATCAAGGAGCCTTGGAAAAATAGTTTTGATCGTCTAATGGGTTTCGTGTCTTGTCTAGGCCGATTAAAAGATGTACAAATCATATTTTTAATCATACATATGTCAATTTTTTCAAATGGAACAAGGGTGACTCGTTAGCATATTTGGAAAAAGCATTTTTTTATGAATATATTGATACCACACACTTGGTATTTCGAGTCAAATTGTCGTTATGAACCACGTGTTACAATTACAATTAAACCATATGCGAAAGTGTCAAAAGTTGACATATGATATGTCATTCTATTCAGAGTGTCATTTTCTATCAAATAAAGTAGAAGTATACCGAGGGTGCCGTTTAAAAATTAAAAGTTATAGTCATTTCCGGTGAAACAGGAAGTGACCAAAAACAATTGAATGCGTCAATCAATCCTAATTTATTTCATATACTAACATACTAAATCTTGTTTTTTTTATTTGAAAATATAAAAAAATTATGGGGATGAGCCACTTTTGAGACGCACCCGGTATAATAAAGACAGTACCGAGTTATAAATGTAGTTTTTATTTTATCCACTTCCTATCACCTTCCTTGCTTTAATGGAACAGATTTATGTTTTCTCTAATTTACATAATAAGACATCACTTAACCAGAAAAAAAATTACAACAATCATATTTTTTTTCTCTCCCTGTTGCCGATTCTATTATATCTGTGGAATAGATCCTGTTTTGATTAATATTAGGGGTTGTAAATGTTTGACTAAAATTAATAATTTATTATTAATTTCAAAAATTACCTAATTTCGATGATAAAATTTCTTCTATAACGTGTATTTTATTATTTTTATCCTTTTTGGACTCTAAATTGTTTTTTCTAAACTTTTATTTAAAAAATCTTAATAAAATATAAAAAAGTTTAAATACGATATATTTTTAATTTAATTATAGCTTCATTAAAATAAAAAAATTACCCGGCTATGATACGGAGAGTTCAGGTGTACTTGAGAAACGAAAGACAGTGTTGTGTTTCTCGGCAGAGTCGTCAGGGAACGACCGTTACGACAGAGACAACCTATCTATCGCTCGTGTCGCACTTGTTATAACCTAAAACAATAACACAACAATAACAAGACATTGTCTGACCGCATGTTCCAGCTATTTATGAATGAGATGCTCAGTCTATATTTTATTTTAAGTCTATGATTGTCCCTAATTCGTGGTACGAAAATTGTTTTTTTATGATCTTTGTGCAAACGAGTAAAATTTCCTGTGCGCAAAAATAAACTCGCGTAAAATAACAATAAACAGCGTAATAGAGAGATATCGCTAACCGAATAGCGTGCATGGACGTTAATAAGGCCAGGTGTTATTTCCTTTTCGTGAGGTGGTATTAACTCTCTTAATTTATAGTTATCGGATCGGAAATAATTCTATTCACGTCGCGTCCGCTATTTAAACTTAACCTAACTTTGAAATTGTTTTGTTTACTAGGTATTTTAAAACTAAAAGGCTAAAGTGCTTATTTCCAGTGCTTTATTGTTCAACGTCTGTCAGTGGGTTTAGTGCAACAAGCAACAAATTCTCTTAGAAGGGCTAAGTCGTCATCTGCTGTAAACCTAAGCCTCTTTATAGGTTCTTTAATATTGGAAGAGGCGAAATTCATATTTTGGGCCATATTTATTTAATTAGAACTAATCCCAGCTACTTAAATATCAAATGACCTAATAAAACTAAAGTAATAATTCAAAACAATTCAAACACAACCTAAAATAAAAGATCTCGCAGGCTGGCCTCCGTTGTAAATACCCGCGCATGCCCATTTAAGCAATTTTTAAACGTTATTTAGAATTAGCGCTTGGTATAATTGATCCGCAAATTACGTCAGGCGATAACGTTATTAGCGGGTGTTGCGTTAAAAATTGACTCGCGCATATCGTAACCAAAGTCGTAACCATGATAAGGTACGCGTAAATACTGCACGACGCTATTCGGTTTTCCGATATCTCTCTAATAACTGTGCTGGTCAGGCGCTGTGCACAATTTGAGAGGCTATAAGTGGGCGTGCTATGTGTGTAAACTAGTAACTTAACTAGTGCCCGATTCCGAAAATTGGAACCACAAAAAACAATCAAGAAAAAACAAAGTTTATGATCTGTATGATCCGTGCTATTATTAACTTCAAACAAAATGCAGAACTTAAACAGTTTTATGTCAATTTTTTGAATTATATAGAAGCTTACTATGTCTTTAGAAAAGAAAAAGTGACAGGATTAAAAAAATTACTTGCACAGGCGATCAAAATGCGTGACAGAACTATATCTCGGCAAGAAACTTTCACTGTAAAAAATGTGCTGAAGCTAACAGCGCAAACTGACCTGCACCGTCAGGTTGTACTAAAGAACTGCGCATCTGTGGGTGCTCATGCAACTGCGCAGTCCAGTCTCTGAGGAAAAACTGAATGTGTGTGACGATTTTAAAACAGTTACAGAAAACTGTGATACATTTTTTTATTTCCATTTTTATTTGGCATGTACACGACTATCACAACATCACAAAAAATACTACAAATAAAAGTGAATTTGCTGCTAAAGAAACTGTTATTTATTCTAGAAGCGCAGTAGAACGCTGAGTTTAAGAAGCAAGACGCCAAATCCGACCGGTGTTAAGGTAGAGAGGGCTTTGAAACAAACTTGTTACGTATCTATCACCCTCCTTTTTTATTCTCCTTGGCACTTCCCAGCAAAATTATAGGGAATATTTCTGTTAAAAGCTCGTCGTTTCGTATGGCGTTTGTTCGTGAACAAATCTCACAGTACAGCTCATTAAATGCAGTGTCACAGATAAACTCCGCATCATATGGTACTTTTTTTATAGATTCAGGTGAAATTAAAAAAACACGTATATACTAGTTGTACAGGATGTTACAAATATGAGCCTCATAATTCAGGTCTCGGAAACTAGAGCTGATCAAAATGCTACAGAGACATAATATATCGGGTGCGTCTGAAAAGTGGCTCACCCCTATAGCTTGTTCATTTTTCAGATAAAAAAAACGAGATTTGATGTGTTAGTATATGACAGAGATTAGGATTGACTGACGTATTCAGTTCTTCTCGGTCGCTTCCTGTTTCAGCAGAAATAACTACAACTTTTGATTTTTAAATGACACCCTCGGTATTTTTTACTTTATTCGATAGAAAATGACACTCGATAGAATGACATATCATATGTCAACTTCAAAACCAAAATTGTATTTTAAATTTTAATCTAGGGTGTGATGGCTGTGTTAAAAACACTAATTTTTAATCAAAGAGCCTTGGGAAATAGATTTGAACATCTAGTGTTTTTAGTATCTTGTCCTGGCCGGTTAAAAGATGCTCAAATCGTATTTTTAATCATATCTCAATTTTTCAAATGGAACGAGGGTGGCTCATTAGCATATTTGGAAAAAAAAATTACGAATAATTTGGTACCACACACTGGGTATTTCGAGTCAAATTGTCGTTATGAATCGCCATGTTGCAATTTCAAATAAATCATATTAGAAAATATCAAAAGTTGACATATGATATGTCATTCTATTCAGAGTGTCATTTTCTATCGAATAAAGTCACAAAATATCGAGGGTGCTATTTAAAAATCAAAAGTAGTAGTCGTTTTCGGTGAAACAGGAAGTGACCGAAAACAACTGAATACGTCAATCAATCATAATTTATGTCATATATTATTATGTACTTACTTTCTTAAATCTCGTTCTTTTTATCTGAAAAATAAAAAAAAGTTATAGGGTTGAGCCACTTTTGAGACGCACCCGATATAGAGTAATGTTCATTATTTCTTTTGTTTTCAGGATTATTAAAAAAGGTTAAGACACATTTTGAAATCATGGTACAAAAAAAACAAGGTATGATCGATAGCGGCACTAATTTCGTTCAGTTTGCGCATACCACCTGTGATGTCATATGCCATTCAAAAAAATATCCATATTGTTCAATTGCCACTAATAAAAAAGACCTATAATAGGGAAGAATTAGGACATAACCCCAAAAGTTATGTCAAATCATGGAGCTTGACATTTGAAAAGTTAGGACACATTTATTATGTGTCATCTGTTTGACAATTTGAAATTGGCGCGCGGAGCTTGCCGACCTGTGACGTAGTGACCAACCTGCGCAATATCATACTTTGTTTTCTTTGTATCATGTTTTGAAATTATTTTTGTATATAATATATTGTACACTTGCTTCAAAAAAGTGTATTTCATAAAAAAAATTGAAAAAAATGTTTATACAACGTTATTTTGTTTAACATAAAATTGCTCAACTTTTGCGAAAATCTTTTTTGAAAATATAAGCTTTTTTAAAAAAGTTATCCATCATATATGTCTTCTTCTTGCTGTACCATTATTTATAATTTGTGTAAGCACATGGAGGTCGATTTTTTTAGGTTGTTTATTGGTCCATTTTAATACTAATATTTGGTTAACAACTGTGAATATAATTTATGTATTGTATGTTGTGTGTTATTACTTTTTTATGTTCTATCCGCATGATATTCTGTCAGTATATTCGAATATTTTATCAGTAATATTAACTTAAATTCTGTACGTATACAGGGCATTTCAAAAAACATGTGCCATCTCTCGTGGGGAGTCCTCACATAAAAATAAGATTTATTTTCATGTCATTCTCATATTAACATAGGTCCGATTCTGCTTTGTTTCGTAGCTAGAGGATATTAAAGTCTTAATATTTATTTCGATTTATTATATTTTTCTTTTGTTTTATAAGTACTTTTAGCGTTTTGAATGAAATTTTGAGGGTACAAGTAAACTATAAATGCGACATACTTTAAAGCTAAAAAAGTGTTGACATATTCACCAGTGACTATGCATATGGGTTATCATTGGAATATTTTTCTAAAAAAAGCAAGTACGCCACTGACTTTTTTGACTGAAAGATTATTAAGACTTTAAAACCCTGTAGCTACGAAACAAAGCAGAATCGGACCTAAGGTTTGGTATTAAAAATAAAATTATAGATAATATTAAACAAAAATTGAAATAATGAGGGGAAATATACAAAAAGAAAAACTACGGTTACTAGTTGTTGAGGTCTAGGCCGGGTAATTTTTCCTTCTTTTTGATAATTTTAAATGTATTTTTAAGATAATAATTTTATTATCGAAACAACTAATCTACTAAATTATTATTTAGCTACTAGCTGTACTTATTAGCTACTGTCCCTACCGACAACTTTTAACACGAATATTCCCATAGTTTACAAAAGCTTGACATATATGTCTGCGTTGTTTTCTTACTGTCAATAAGTGTTTCTTTCCTTGTAGGTATAAACCCAAAAATATCAATTTCGTATATTTGCATTATGTATTTTATTCTACGTGATATATGTGCTTTTCTTGTTTATATTCCAAATATTTATATGTTCGTTAAATTATATGTTCAATCGTATATTCGTTAACAAATTGATAACAGAATTCTGCATGATAATGTTTATATGTTTTTCATTATATCATTCTTGACTCGTGAAAACTTGTTTAAAGTGTTTTAATCTGAGATTCAAGTATTGTTTTTTTTAATTCCTAGGCCCTCCTGGCAGAAAACTTCCTTGCCCGAGATGCCTTGATACAGGAAAACGGCAAAGTGGTCACTGATTTCGACGAGAACAAGTACCATATATTTTTTACGGACGTTACCTATGAAAAAATACCTAAACAGCGGGAACTGAGGATCAAGAAGAAGCTTTACGAATTCTACACAGCTCCTATAACGAAATTTTGGGCCAATTCAGTGAGTACATACCGTGCAGGCAACTCTTAATTTTGGGTCGGTATTTACATGTGTGGAAGTAAATCGCATAGGGATCTTATTAAGTGGGAGTGAGAGAAATGCGACGGTGTGCTGTTGCGGCGTTGCCACATTTCTCCGGAATTTTTTCTTTCCTTTTAAAGACATTTTTTCGAAAAGGTGACTAGATAAAATCATTAGATACGTTTCTGAGCAACTAAAATGGAATTATAAGGATATCGTTAGGGTGTCGATTTTTTTACGAGGAAACGTCAGTAATTACGGTAATTTAAAAACTCAACTTTTTAACACATAACACGCAGTAACTCAAGAACCACTTTAGATATAGAAACTTTTATTTTATTTTGAAGTTTGGATCTTTTACAAGATTTTTAAATAAAGAAAAATTCAATAGGCTTGTTTTTTTCCATTCAAAAATTAAAAAAAAACTATCCATTTACATTTACCAGTGCATAGCAATTTTCAGCCAATCATGAAACGTATTTATAAAGATTTTCACATACTGTCTGCGAAGAAAATATAGCAGAAATGTTAAGAACATTTTTGAAAAAAAACTACAGTCAATAAAATTGTTTCTAATGGATTTCGAGATATCGATTTTTGAATTCAGAGTTCTAATAGCGCGACCACTGTCGAACACCTAGTGATGGGTTGTTATTTAACTATCTGTTATTTTATAACAATTATTTAGAAATAACATAACGCAACCGTTACTGCTTTTAAAAAATAACAGATATAAAATAACGACACGCAGAGATCGAGTGTTCGTGAAACGAAGTCGGCGCTCTGCACCGCCACGAAATTCGATGCTGCTCGAAGCAATTCCAAAAAACAACTAGTATGGATGGAAAACCTATTATTTCGACAACCATCGATACAGGCGGCGAGATACAACAGACAACGGAGTGGGGTATGCGCTACGGCGCGGCGCGTCGTGTTGGGCTGACAACAGCTTAAAAATAATAGGATATAAAGAAGCAGCTTTTTTGAAACAGTTGCGGGCATAACGCCTGGCTGTCGAGATAACAGGAGTGGGAAAGGAGCGCTGCTGCATCGGTCGATTGTCGATGGAGGCTCGCAACGGGTTGGAGAATAACGCATCAGTTGTTTTAGCTATGTTGTTTTTTTTACCTGTTACGAGCATAACAGAACGGCGTTCGAGATAATCGGAGGTTTGAAACAGGTTGGAGAATAACGCATCAGTTGTTTTAGATACATATTGTTTTTCAACCTGTTACGAGCATAACGGGCGGAGGTCGAGATATTATGGCGCTGTATGTTTCAATACTTTGTTATTAAGTTTCAATATTTAAGTATTTATTTATTCTGAAAAATTTTCAGAATAATATTTTAAAGATTTTTAAAATGTATACAGGGTGTTTTAAAAATCTGGTCATTGATTAATCACGATCCTGCTTAAAGCCCTTGACGTAAAAAGCTGATTTTGGAAAACGGATTGACTTTAGGGTGTAGAGGTGCGATAAGAAGGGATTTTTCGAAACTCAAATTCTAAGAGGGTGAAACCACCCTCAAATATTAGAATATTTTTATTTAAAACTGGTGAGTTTTTCGAAAAACTCTTAAACACGTATATTTTATTTTGTTGTTTTACATATTTTGAGATTTTTACAAAATATATACAGGGTGTTTCATAAAATATGACCACTGAGTAATCACTATTCTGCTTAAACTGCTTGACGTTTAAAGCTGATTTTTGGTAAACGGATTGACTGTGGGGTGTAGAGGTGCGATAAGGAGGGGTTTCTCGAATCTCATATTCCAAGAGGGTGAAAACGCCCCTCAAATATTACAATATTTATTATTTAAAAAACGGTTAGTCTTTCGGGAAAACGATTGGACACCCATAATTTATTTTGTTTTTTTACATATTTTGAAATTTTTTAAAAAATAATACAGGGTGTTCCAAAAAGTTGAGTAATTGATTAACCAAGATTCTGCTTAAACTGCTCGACGTTTAAAGCATATTTTTGGCAAATGTGAGAAAATTTTATCCAGTTTGTATGTTAATGGAAATTCTTGCTTTGCTTTATCATCACCATTACAAATTAATAATTCGATGCGAACGAAGTCGCGGGTACAATAATAAGTATAGCTAGAGACGTGAGAAATATAAAATAAGAGACGCCCCCCGATGTGCAGTGGACATCCCACAAATTTGCTTCAATCAGATTTTTCGTAGCGTAACTGCATCTCTCTTCCGCCGAGTGCGTTCTCTCTCTATCGTGTGCGCGACCGGTGCTATCCCCAAGTCTCTTCCTATATTTGTCAAACTGTACATGCTAGTTTAAGTGTAAAATTAATTCGAACTCTAGTGCGTAGTTGGTTTACTTATGAAGAATATACTACACATTTTCTTATATTGCTATTTTTTGACCGCAAATGGTAAAATCATAACGAAGAGCTTCTCGCCCGTCGAGTGAGATGCACCCTGTACACTGCTACGCAATTCAGAATCTACGCGGATCGAGGGGTAGGGCGTAGGTAGATCGGAATTTATAGATATAGACAGTGGCGGCATTTTGGCTTTTTTTATATCGCAATTTGTAAACAGCGCTTATTTGTAAACAACCCCCCGTTTTAGAGAGAGGTATTTTAGATAACAATCGATATTTAGAAATGTTATGACACCCTGGAAATACTACCACCGAGCACGTCATTGTTGCAACTGCGTTAATACGCCTGGCGGTGACCGCCTCATATTCTTTCAGATATTTAGCAATAAAATAAAGAAACCTGTTATTTTTAAGCTGTTATTTTAAGCTGTTTTTTATAAATAACTATAACAGTTTCAACTGTTATCTAAAAATAACAGTTTTGCCCATCACTACGAACACCAACTCAATTCCACTATTTTTACCAAAAGTGTGCAAATCTTTCTAACTTGCACTTAAAAATTTATAAGATATAGGGAAAATTACGACTCAATAATAATTAAACAAATAAAGTATCACGAGACGTAATTAAATCGTGAAGCTGAATGCATGATGTACACCCTTCTCTAGAATTATAATACTGAGGTACTGATCGGGTCGACCGTGAGGAATCTGCTATATCCCCTTCGACATCTCTCAGCAATGTGCGCAGTTTCTCGGCTTATTTCATACGTTTGGCAACGTGTTTACTGTCCTCTCTTTGTTCGGTACATTATAAACGCATTGTACTCTTCTTACATACAGAAATCTCGACCCAAAACTAACCTTTGCCAGCTCTTAGTATAGAAAAATCGGTAAAAGTTGGCGAGGACAAAGTGAAATGTTTACCCATAACTCTATTTTTTTCAGGTAGCATACATGATGTTCCTGGTAATATTCAGCTATACTGTCCTGGTAAAAATGAACGAAATGCCCTCCTGGCAGGAATGGATGTCGATTGCGTTTATCTGTTCTCTAGGCTGTGAAAAGCTGAGAGAATTGTTCAGTTCCGAACCGGTAGGTCTGACGCAAAAATTGGCGGTGTGGAGCTGGAACATGTGGAACCCGTGTGATATGGGTGCCGTCTGCATATTTTTGGTCGGTGCCACTTTGAGGTAAGTAAAAGAAAAACGTCAAACAAAACTGTCAAAAATGGTGGTTCTTGATGTCCATTTTGTCTCTAAGGCATAAATATATAAATTATACTCCCTCTTTAATTTCTTTTTATTCGGAGAATTAGTATTATCCTTGTTTATATATTCTTAAAGTTGGTCAACCGACTAGACAAAATGTGCTGCTAACTGGAGGACAAATCGTGAACCTTTCGGGGCGGAGTCAAAAATATCGATTATTTTCGTTATTTTCCTCAGAGTAATGTAATAATATAGCCCGGGTATCTGCGAACTTTAATAGTGATCAGCTGATTAAGAAATTTAAACGAAACTTTTATTTTACTGTAAATTGTGGATTATTTTTGCCTGTTATTTTAAGAATCTAAACCGTATTAACAAAGATATTATTATTTCGATATGTTGGTACATTATTTATAATTTATGATAATTTTATGCTAATTGGCTGTTAATTAATATTTAAAAAAAAGTTACATACCTATTTTAAGTTGATTTAATGCAGGTTTATAAAAGAATCATTTCATTCTTAGATTATTTTATTCTAAATTGAGTGCTTTACGAATTGTACGATATTTTTTTTTTGAAACATAAAACTTTTTACATTTTTGATGCTAACTAATTGGCATGGTATTATTGTTATGGAAATTAGCCAAGAAAGAAAAGAATTGGCTATAACTTGTAATTTTTCGAAAAAAAAAACATATTATACCAATCGCTGAAAAGCTTAAAAAATGGCGCTTTTTATGAAGTCATGGCCAACTATGGTTTACTAAAAAAACATATGTTTGTGTCATATGTCAAAAATGACAGACTTTAGAAAACACAAACTCATTAGGTATGTGATTATCTACAACTTTTATCTGAAAACTTTTTGTTTAAAAAATACCGTATGATCGAATAAAAACGGCGTCAGCGATGGCTATGAAAATGACGATCAATGATATTTCCCATATAATTTTACATATAAAATGACAGCGATCTTCACTTCATAGCCATCGTTGACGCCGTTTTTATTCGATCATGCGGTAGATTATAATGGAATTTATCATAGGAAACTCACCCTGTATTTGAAACTAACTATTATTATTATTTGACTAGTTTAATTTGATTAATAAAGCTAGATTAATTTAATTTCAAATAAATTTGATCAGATTTTTTTTTCGAATATTCTGCTACCAGAAAACCAAGATTATATGATAACGCACTTTTCAACGAAGTTGAAGGAAGATATAGTGTATCTATCACAATACTCAATAGAACTACTACAATTATTACAAGAAAAACAAAAAAAAAGAAATACCCAAATACCCCTTCACCTACTACTCAACTACAAAATAAACGAATATAATCTCTTAAAAACACTACACAACTACTTATTCTTGTATTCTACTCTGAACAAATTATCAAACTTACTAATTTATCAAACAAAAAGAAAAAATAACAAAATTATCCCTTCACCTACTACTTAACGACAAAATAAACTATAAAAACACTACTAAACTATTTTTGGTAGACTACACTAACATGCTACACTAAACACTATAATTAAACTTAATAAATTAATCTAATTTTGCACTACACCTTCAAAGAAAAAAGAAATATGAACATTTTCTAAAACTAGAAGAAACAGAACTTCCATACGTGCAACCAGGATAATAGGTCAAGGGGACAAAGAATATAAAATATTTTAAAATGTGCATTCAGAAAGAAAAAATACCTCGAAAATTATCTAAACAAACATTTTTATTTCTTATCAGTGAGAAGCATCGGCCTTGTCGGCCTTGAAGAATTTGTCGGGTATTTACAATGGTCGAATTGTATAATTGCCAGCTTTTATAGCATATCTAATAGATAAAAAGTATCTGGTCGATTAGTAACCAATTGGCACAGTCCGAAAATTATCGATTTTTATTTTCTCTGTTTTTATTGGTAGCTTCAAAATTCAGAGTGACAAAAAATATTTTTCTGTAGGGAAACCGGTCCTGCCATCTAGTAGTCTTAGTCCATAAACGTCTTAGGTTGATCTACTTTAAAAATATATATACAAGGGTATTATCCTTAAAGAATATTACGTATATCAAAAAACGGTGTATATAAAAAAAATGTGTATTACGTATATCAAAAAACCTGTGTCACTGACATAAGTCACTGTGTTTGTTTATAGACACTGTTTTATTTATTCAGATATTAATAATTAATCCCATTTGATGTAAAATGTTAATATTGTGTTGTTAATTATTTTTTTTATTCTTTGTAGGTTTCATGGCGATACATTTCAAGAGGGAAGAGTCATATATTGTGTAAATAGCATCTACTGGTACTTAAGAATACTCAATATTCTAAGCGTAAATAAATATCTAGGTAAATTAATTTTATTAAAATTTACAGGATGGTTTTCATAATAATTGACGTATTTCGATAATCTTAGGAGACGAAAACTTATTATTAAGGTAGAATCTCATGTATCCGATTTCCGTCGTACGTTCTAATTTTTAAGTTGACGCACCCAAAACTAATATTGATTAGAAATACCGTATGATAAAAAAAAACGGCGTCAAAGACGGCTGGCAGGTCAATCTCTAGACGTCCTTTAAAACATAAAACTTGTCAAAAATTAACACTAATTGTAGAAAGATCAAATAAAGATTTTACCAAAAGTATTGTGAGGCTCTCCCGTTTTTGAGAGAGGCCACGGACGCCGAGTTGCCTTGGTTCGGTTCCTCGGGCGCCACCCCCAACGTTTAAAGTGTTTGAGAGACCACTAGTGCCAATACGGGTAGCTTTTATACAGTGGAGATACCAGGGAGTGATGAGATGAAAAGAAAATAAAACACACAATTAACTATAACGTAACACTAGGCTTTTATTTAACTAATTAATTATGTACAAAAATAATCCAGGAAGGTTCACGTCGAATCGTAACAACAGTGAAATAAAATGTATATTTAAAGACCCGTAAAGTAAAATTTACAATAACAACCGTGTACCTCTAGAGTTTTGATCGATTATTCCCGAGATGCAACTCTGACTGATTCTATCATGCGAATTCAAAACGCGTTCCCAAAATGACGTTCTATTAAATAAGCCGACGCGAGTTCCTGATCGACGTCGAATTTAGCGGCGTCCTAATGAACACAGACACGTAAGTACCTGAGCAACACACTCTACTATGACGCGACTCTCTAAACGGCGGCGACGTCGTTACAGGCATCCCGATGGTCACAGCTAAATATTTCTTGGAACGGCGTCCGTTTTGACAACGAAACACGAACCTCGGATCGGCGTCGACGTTAAAAGCGTCCCGTGGTACCCAAACGCGAGTCCTGGATTGATCGCGAAATTAACAGCGTCCTGTGGGATATACACACACGCCAGCCCTGGATCGATCGCGAAATTAACAGCGTCCCGAGGGATACACAAACGCGAGTCCCGGAGTGACGTAGACGTTAGCGACGTCTCGGCGAGTTGTACGTCGTTCGGATAAGCGCAGCCCGCACACACACCGCCCAGTCAGGACAGCCTCGGGATTTCGGCGAGATCCCGTCCAGCGTCACTGTTGCAGGGTGCCGTCCGGACGGCACACCTAAAGAAATACGGGAGCTACAAAACCAGCCTCGGGATTTGGGCGAGGTCCTGTCCTAGCTCCATAAATATTCGCGCCCGTGCGTTTACTGAACCACTTTAGCTGTCCCTTATAAAAACCAATTAGTTAGAATTAGAGAGGCACGCTAAACCAGGGTAGATGTCAGGCCACCCTTATGTTGTCTAGTGTCCGGGACGTTATTCCTGACAACTACTATAGTAAACCGTGTTCCCTCTTTCGCCTGGTCGGCAACCTCTATTTATACGAAGTTTAAAACCCCTTTAGTTATTATCCCGTAATTAACTTTTCCCGAGAGGCACGTTAAACCAGAGTAGATGTCAGGCCACCCTTATGTTGTCTAGTTTCCGGGACGTTATTCCTGGCAACTACTATAGTAAACCGTGTTCCCTCTTTCGCCTGGTCGGCAACCTACGCTCTCCCTTATCCCTAAAACGCGGCTAGGTGGTACAGTAACCGCTTAATAATTACAACAAGGATACGACCTACTTTCGAACACTTCGGCGGCTGGTGCTTACCTAGCACAGTACGGCGGCGATGGGCAGCTGGCAGCAGGACACTTGGCAGGCACTCAGGACTCGACTTCACTGTTTCGCGTGCGAACACCAACTGTCTCTCTGGAGCTGCTGCAGCCGAGGTACTCGACTGACGGTCCCCTCCTCTCAACCTGCACTGGTAGGGAGAGCGGCGCAAACGTCTCGGTTTCTCGCACCGAACCACAGCGACCAAAACCGATCAAAACTCTTACAAAATGGCAATTAAATATTTAACTTATTTAATTCAACAATAGAAACACTAATGAAGTTCATTACAATAATGAGTTAACAATAAAATACACTGCCTGTCATTATTAAAAGAGAATCAAGTCTCTACTATTCTAGTATAATATTAACACAATATACAGGGTGTCCTAGAAATTTTATGAACTTCATTACAGTATAAACCAAAAAAAGAGAACGTTTCCAGACACACCAATATATTTCCAAAAAATTATTTCTTTTCGAATTTTAAACTACACCATTAAAAAAATATTTTTACCCAATATAAAAAGAATTTACAAGTTTCTTAAGAGTCTATTACGCCATACTTTCGCGTTGCTCTCAGGGGTCGGATAAAACGGGTGTGTGGGCGAACGAAATATATATTATATTTCAGAAATCCGCCTAAGGCTTAGCCCGATCCTGTCGTGTTCAACTGTAACCACCGTAATAACAAAGCCGGACAGCTGTGATGTAAAAATCTCGTGACGTCACCAACTGGAGGCCTAACTCTATATATAGTACAATTCTTTTAAAAGTTCCTCAATATGGCCGACCTAGTTACGAAAATTGGTAATTTTTTTTTAATGAAAAATAAGTTGGCGTTGGCGAATTCAGAAATTGATTTACTCTTTGGTTAACAATAACATTTTTCAGGATTGTCAAGTTGACGTTAAAGTTAGGTTATTAGGTGGTTGTCATAAATCATAAATAAAAACATACATTATTGAAATTATTTAATAAGAATAAAGGTATTTTACCGCAGATCCGAAGAGATTTTACTTAAAGGTATTTTATAAACTTTCTCAACCAATAAAACAACCTTATAAACTTTTCCAAACCAAACCAAACCTTAAGTGCTTTTAGTGAGTAACTGTATTTTTTATTATTGTTTGTATCCTGTAAAGTAAAAAAATATATATTTCAAGATATATAAAAACAATAAAATAGATATCAAACAGATTCATAAAAACTACTTACAATTGTACATATTATATATTTCAAGTGTTATTTGATCTTCGGTCCCATTACCAACATTACCTTATTTAGGTCTTCTCCACTAACTCAACTTTTACACCTGTTTTAAACCTTCTTTATATTTTAAAACTAATTTACAACAATCTGTAATGCCCGCGCTGTTTCCTGAAATTAATATAAGTTTTAATCTATATTTATTATCATATACATATTACAAACCTGAAAATTACTGATACGAGGAAACTTCTCAAAATAATTAGAGACCTTTTTACAAACATCTGGACTAATTTAGTTTCACGAATTTGTGGACGAGTCAATGTTTTCTAATACGTTTTTAAGCGTTTTACACATTTTTTGAATATCTTCCAGCCTATTCCTCAGTTCTTGATCGGTGAAAAGATTATTTATAAGTATATAATTAGTACTGCAAGCTGCAGGTTAAACAAAAGAACAAAATCAAGTAGAATTTGTGAATAAAAACTCAAAAAATAATGAAAATATTTAGAAAAAGGAACCGTAAACGTCAGTCAGCCAAGTGTCAGAGTTCAACTAGATTTACCACAGATTAATTCAGTTTGAACGATTTGAACTACAGTCGATTCCAGTCTAGAGATTTTCGTTTTTTAAGCCTCCCATACTGAAGTCCGCCATATTGGGAAGTTTTAGGTGAAAACAAGTATAGCAGCGTTGATAATTACCCGATAAAAGTTCAAATTGTGGATCTTTTTTCACTCAGCAGATATATTTCGAAGTTTTAAAATGTCTTTTTCCGAGTTTTTAAAAATATTATAGTATATAAAATAGTTTTAATAGAATACGGAAAAAATCATACCAGTCAATAAATGTTTATCTCTCACTTTTTGTCAATCAAATTTAACAAAGGAATATTTTAAGTTCACAATAGTGTATAATATGCGAAAAAAACAATAAAAGATGGATATTTTTTATAGTATATATTATGTATTTCATCGATATTTTACGACCCCTAAAGTCCCTAGATATATAAAGTACCGCAATTACCGCCATATTGGCGCCAAAACTAGCGGCAAATTTAAAAAGGAGGCCAACATTTCGCTGTTTCGGCTTTTTAAGCAGCTGGTCGGTCCGGCGCCAATATGGCCGACCAACATTGACAGGCAAGCCGTAAAATACAATATTTATTAATTGTAATAGAATTACGTTTATTATCTACAGTTTACCTTCATTTTAACGTAATATCAGGTGGTATATTAATATTCAATTTCATAAATTTAATTTTTTAGGCCTATATATGTTAAGAGGTTATAAACGAATGGTTTCCGTACAAGTGTTTTTCATTTGTATTAGCATTTATTTTATGTTACCTTTTAGCGCAAAGTACGCCAACAGAAGTAAGTTAATAGGTAAGAAGAAATAAAGTTGGAATAACATTTAGAATTTTAGTACTTAATTCAGTCGAAACAATTGGAAAAACTTTGTTTGTTGATGAGAACGGGATACCTATACCATAAGTAAACTTTCCTTATTATACCAGTTATGCTGTAGTTAGTTTTGACAAATCAGCATGATTTAACGAATGTCTTTGGAACTATGAATAAGCTACAAACTTAAATTTGAAGGCCGGCTTTTATGCGAGAAAATTTTGAACCATGGTTGAAACAGATAAATGTAATAATTAAATTGATATGATACATACCTGCTATTTTTGAAATATATTGATAGAAAGATTGTTTCAATTAGTATTACTTCAGGTAGTTTCGGCATTTTAGGTATGTAATTGTGCACTTAATTTAAAAATAACTTAGAAAGAAGCTTGAAACGCATAGGAGCTTTTTATGTATGCTGTATAATTAAGGTTTGTATGTTATGGAGGGATTTTTATACAACAAATTTATTATTAGTTGAATAAAAGCAAGTTAATACCACATAATACAATTAAAATATATTTTACTCTGCAATTTAATGTTATATTTTTAAAACAACAAGTGTCATAATGTTTAAGTATCATTATAATAAAAAAGTTATACTGCTATAAATTTAACATTGAAATAACTGTAATTATTATTATACATAAATTAAGTAGGCATAATTTTACCTCGACAATATGTAAAACTTCAAATGAATCTTAACAATTTTATGTCATGTATAAAAATCAAATTTAAATCACACACTTTTATTTATAACTGACAGTATAAAACCAAATTTTTAAATATAACTTTACATGCTTACATTATATTGTTTACTTTTTATTAGTAATTAAAATATGAACCAAAAAATATTAATTACTATCAATAAATACATAAAAACTAATCTATTTAAGTCCATGAAAATAACTATATAGTTAGCATATGCATAAACAACATTCTTGTTATTAGGATCAAATTTATTTGAGCTTTTTTCATTGTTTTGATTAATATCCCTGTTAGTCCTGACTGGTAAAACCACCTGAAGCGATGTCATCCAAATCTATATATGTATCATAACATAACTTATTCTTTTAAATAATTATCCTTCGTTTGGTCTGATGATAATATATTGTAGATTTATCTAAACTTCTTGCTGCAAAATGTTGAAAACTAAACTACACTAAACATTTTAGGGAATGATTACGTAGAGATTTCACTTACACTTAGCATCCTTTTTAAACGATATGTATGGTAGTTTGCAAGTAAGGTCTTTGTCTTGTTCTAGATTAGATTTCTAGAGGTTGATTTCGGCCTGACCCACTGCGACCTTCTCAGATCTATTGTGGTCTTGTCTTGTTCTATAATGAAGTTTTATGTACCAGTAGGTTATACTACAAATAAGATTGTTAAAAATATTCACTGGAGCATAAATAAATTCAATCCACTACCTAACGTGTATTGAATATCGACGATGTTAGAAAACACATCAAATGGCGGCCTTTTCGTGTAATACACATTTCTTCACTAAAGATATCGACGCCTATACATTACTAACTAATAAATTTGTAGCATTTTAGTGGCTTTATAATTATTTTAAAATATATGGATAAATATTTTTATCCTGAAATTGACAGCTTCTCAACATTTGACATGACAAATTCAGTCAAATGTGACATTTAAACAGTCCTACCACTACAGTTTTTCCAGAAATACCCCAAAAATCCGCCATTTTGGCGCCAATAACATTGAACAAACCAATTGCGGTACTTTATATATCTAGGGACTTTAACGACCCCTACTCAGGGGCGACGCCTGTCGTAGCTGAGTGGTATTGCCGCAGTTGACAGTCATCGATTTATCGGTAGGTGTGTGGACGTGGTAATTATAATCGATAATAGAAGGGTGAAAAAGTTCTATTTAAAGTTCTATTCAGAAAAAGTAGTTGGGAGTCAGTACAGTATTTATGTTCGACATTTATATGAAGGTAAAAAGAAACTTAGGATCCAGTCATTAATGTCCCTAAAATCTACTTGGTTTGGTTCTATAAAAATCGATACTTTTTATGATTTTATGATGACAATACCTTGTCTAAAGAAATACCACGCGATACAAGTGCAACATTGAATTAGATTGGTTTAACATCGACATTACTATACTCTGTTTTTTTTCTCAGGTAAGATTTCGACAGACGATGACAGAAGAAAAGCAGATGACGTCCCATACCAATCTATTTATTTTACTAAAAAAAGTTTCTAATAATTTTTAAGTTATCTATGGATGGGTTTAAATATAAATCCGTCATGCGTCGTGTCTTGTTGTTTGTAACCAGTTTTATTGGTTTATTTAAAAAATGACAGATCGTATTTCAATTTTATTGGTTTGACGGAACGATGAACGACAAACGGACGCCGATGCGTATGAACTCGCCTTTAGATTTTTGTCATTTTTGACGCTTGTCAAAGTCTTGCCAAATTATAGGTTATGATTTTGTGTCAACTTTTGTTAAATACCCTGCGTTTTTGGAAGATGATGCATTTTGATTCGTATTATTACGCGTGTTTGTGTGTCTTTTGAAGTCAAGTGGAGGAAAAATCGAGTGAAAATTAACTGTAGACCCAGAGCACAGTTTATGGTTAATACTCGCCAGGCAGAAAGTCTTATACACCAATGAAGTTGCCATCGATAAAGTTTCATTTCGTCGTAGATAAGTGCATCTCGTATATGGTAGAAGGATCAAACTAAACACATACTAAAAACTGGAGTAGCTGTAAAATATCGACATCACACGATAGGTAAATAATGGATTTTAGTACTGCAGAAAAATAATGTCAAAATGTACTGGTTTAAAAAAATTAAGATTAAAGTTAATTAATCAACCTTTAAGGTATAAAATTTGGTAGGTGTTATTAATAAAATAGTTTGTTTTATTTACCTATGTTGTTTTATTTATTCCTGTGGAATATTACAAATTGGTGTGTATTTGTACATAAGTTATATTGATATATATAATGATAAATGCGGGTAGTTTCATAAAGCTTGAAAGTAAATAATAGTTCTTTTTTATATTTTTTTGGTATGTAGTGTCTTGTTCTTGTTTGTTTTGTATTAACACATACCGTTTTTATTAAATAAAATAACTCGATTACATTTTTTCAGTTTTATACAGTTTTTTTCACAATATTTTGAAGTAATCGCTTGTCATCTTGTCAATCAAATTTTAAATATTTCCGGCTATGCGTTCCAGTTGTACCAACTTATTTCTTTGTAAAATAAAATAAACTACTTTGAAATTAAAATGACAGACACATCTATCACTGTCAAGAATCTTCTCGTTGGACAGACTATATTTCTGAACAAGATATCGAAAGTGTGAAGGAAGAAAGGCCTGTTATTGTTTATTTAGAGGGATATTGCTGTTATATTGTTTTAAAGGAAATTAAATGCGATACATGTAAGAATAAGTTAACATTTTCAGACAACACTGATATTGAACAAAATTCACTTATAAAAAACCTTACTAAAGGCAGTCTTGGGTTTCCAAATAATATAGTTTTATTTGAATATATAATTTTTAACAAAATTTTGCAAAGCCATGAGGAGTTTCTCAAAATTCACAATAAAAAAATATTTTTATCAAAAATATCTTTGGATTACATTAAAAGTAATAACACCATTATTAAAAGTTCCGCAATATACTATTTATAATGCTAAGTTATTGTAAAAATTGTCATAAATTCTATTAGAAATACACGTCTGAAAAACTACTGTTGTAAAAAAATGATAGACTTGGAAAAGGAAATAAAAGAAACTTAGACACACTTACAGCATAAATAAATACAATGACGATGGATAATGTGAGAGGGGATATCAATCTGATGTTTTTTTAATTTTATATTAATTTATTATTTATTAAAAATTCGGTGTAATTAAAGTTTATATCCATTATATACGTATAAAGTGTATCAAATGCAATCAAAGTTTAGGCCTCCAGTTGATGACGTCACGAATAAGCTGTCCGGCCTCTGTTCAACCCCACCAAAAATTCCAAACACACGTGCTTTAATTAAGACTTGATTAAGATTTGTAGAGCTTCAGCATTTGCCATAAAATAGCGAGCAATTTGTTACAAAACCATATAAATTATATATCATTGTAATCACAAAACTTGAATATATTTCCGTATTGTAACGGAATTTTAAATTATGTCTTTATTTTCGAGAAAATTTAGTCCAAACATAAGGAATATTTTGTTGATGTTTGACCATCAAAATCTTAAAAATAAAGAAGTTGTCTAAAAAAGTGCAACAATACGGATATAGTATAATCCTTTATCTTTAATTTCCTTCTTCGTATGTGTAAAAATACGTAGCCAGTTTTACATAAAACGTTAAATGCTGAACGCTTATTTTGCTACTTTTTCGGATTAGTGAAATGGACCCTTAAGGCCAACTGGCAGTAAGAGCCATTAAAAATAAAAGAGTACCGGCCAAGTAAATGATGTCTAGGGCTTGACATCGTTAAAATTATTATCGATTGTCATTTCGCAGCCGGCTTTGAAACCGTTTTTTTCGTGATGATACTCGTGATGATAAATTTAGGATAGTCGATTAAAACAATATTGCGAGAATTATCATACAAACTTGGAATTTTTAGGTCCATTAGTAACCATGATGGGCAAAATGGTGAAGAATATGATATATTTCGTTGTTTTATTACTGATAGTATTGATGAGCTTCGGTGTTTGTCGTCAAGCCATCTTAAACCCTGATGCCGCACCGAGCTGGACAATTGCTAGAGACGTAAGTATATTCTAACTAGTGAGTGAAAAAAAGGAAAAATTCCGATAATGAAGTACTCGAGTTTCGACTGAACATTTTTTGCCTTGGTTTTAGGTGTTTATGGAGCCGTACTTCATGCTGTACGGTGAAGTGTACGCGGACAAGATAGATCCTTCTTGCGGAGGCGAAGACGAAGATCCCTGCGTTACAGGTAGATGGATATCACCCACCATCATGTCGATCTACCTTTTGGTGGCGAACATCCTACTCATCAATCTTCTCATCGCTGTGTTCAACAACATTTTCAACGAGGCAAGTATTATTATAGTAAACGCCACGAATGTTTGAGAGTGATTCATCGGTCGCTACCATGTGAACTAATCTGTTCAAGGTCACATAAAACTTAATTCCAGAGCCGTGGTGTTTCAAGTCGTATAATAATCAATATATAATCTGTTGTTTATGTTTTTGTGCATGAAATTTTAAATTTATTATTATTGATGAATATTACAAAAATATTTATTAGTAACAAATTACTTAAAAAAGGATTCCAGCAAACTGTCAAAGTTTTGTCAAAACATATATTTGGTTATAAATATAAACTGGAATGCCTCATTGGTCGCACTGCAGTCCATGCAAGCACACCAATGGACTGACGCACAAAAACGAATCAATAAAAGAAACGCGATATAGTATCGTCTTTGTCAATCACGCTAATATTTTAGAATAAGTAGGAGGAGCGCAGGCAGATGATTAGACAATTATTAATCTGCTTTGTATAGCCATATAAAAACTGCTTATTTTGTGAATAAATTTGCAGGCCAAAAATTATTTACAAATTCCAGCGGACATAAGTGGAGAAACCTTATCTTCTTCTTAACATTCTGTGAGATATTCTCTTGTTAAATCGTCTAGATCGTGGTATTGGGTTCACAGAGCGTTAAAAATATGCCGCGCGGGATAAATTTGTCAGATCAAATAAAAAAAATCATAATTTAGAAGTATCAAACGGGAATTAAACAAATTGATATTGCTAGACACTTAAATTTACATAAAAAACAGATTGTGCAAACAGATTATATAATTTGTATAGAAATCGTTGGAGAACTGCCAGTATACCCAAGCCCGGAAGACCCAAAAAAAACAACTTTGGCGACAGATAAAATAATAAGAAGCTATTCACTTAGAAACCCATTTTGCACTGCGGAGGTTATAAGGAACGAATATCCCATTATTTCAATATCTGTTAGGTCCATTAGACGGCGTCTGAAACAGGCACAACTAAATGCCAGAAGACGTGCCCGAAAGCCGTGTATTTCTAAGAAAAATAGGCAGGCCCGACTACAATTTGCATTGGAACATGCAAGTTGAACCTACGAGCAGTGGAAAAATGTACGCTGATCGGACGAAAGCAAGTACAATCTATTTGGTTCGGATGGTATTAGGTGGGTGAGACGTCCTGCCAATGAGAGATTCAATCCCAAGTACACCATACCCACCATAAAACACGGAGGTGGGGACGTTCTAGTCTGGGGTTGTTTTTCAGGGCATGGGATCGGGCCCCTTGTTCAAATTGATGGAATTATGTATCGTTATATGTATTTAAATATTCTGCAAGAAACAATGGTACCTTATGATGAATCCTCTCTCCCATTAACCTGGAAATTTATGCACGATAATGATCGGAAAAACACTGCCAAACTTATTAAGGAATTTTTAACCGAGGAACAAGTCGAAGTGATCAAATGGCCAGCTCAAAGCCCCGACCTGAACCCTATAGAGAACCTATGGGATCAACTAGAAGTCGATGTTAGGCGTAAAAACAGGGACAAATTTAAAATTAAAGATGTTTTGTTCGCTGCCCTATTACAAGCCTGGAATGAAATATCCGGGGACGTAATAAAGAACTTGATTGAGTCTATGCCCAGAAGATGCCAAGCAGTCATCAAAAGTAAAGGATATGCAACCAAATACTGAGTACTGCGACTACAAATGTATAAAAAATGCCAGTTTCTCCATTTTTGTCCTCATAGAAGTTAGTTTAATTTTTTCAAAATTTAATAAAGGCTTTTTCCAAAAAAATCTTATGTGTATTTTTATGAGACAGTTATCCTATGTATAAATATACAGGGTCTGGCAATAGTGCGTCGGGCATCTGTAGCTCCTAGAATAAAAAACTTGAGAATCTTGTTTAAGTGCGAACCTAGTATGTGCCAGGATGTATTTCAAGAAAATATTTTAACTTCTATAGGGTGGCTCAAAAAAGTATGAGTGGACCTTGATGATTTTTTTTAAATGGAATACCCTGTATATTATTGCATTTTTGGCTTCCTTTCAGATCACTTTACATAACCCTAAGATATGAATAAATATATTTTGATAGTTTCCGAGATATTAAAAATAAATAAAAATATGATTTTTCAGCCCTTCTTAAAAAAATTATTAAAAATACAAGAACTGTCCTGAAATCAAAACTATATTAGGTATTTACTTTAGATCGTCTGTATTTACTTTGCTATAAATATGAAAATCGTAAATTATACAGAATGTTCAAAATTCTGCGCCAAACTTTCTAAAATATAAAATAATTTTTCCTCGTTTTTTTTAAATGGAACACCTTGTATATTATTTTTTCAATAGACGGAGACTTAAAAAATGAACATTTTTTGTATTTAAAATATTTCAAAATGTTTAACGGTTTCGCAGATATTTGCGGTTTTATATTTCATATGGCATTTTCCACAGTAAATTTTTATCAAAGCCACCCAATGATTTTTCTCTCGTATTTTAACATTGAAAGCACCATATGAAATAATACTGCGCGTATCTGAAACCGTTCAAAATTTTGAAATACTCTAAATACAAAAAATGTTCATTTTTTAACTATCCATCTAATAAAAAAATAATATACAGGGTGTTCCATTTAAAATAACAAAGAAAAATTATTTTATATTTTAGAAAGTTTCGCGTAGAATATTGAACATCCTGTATGATATACGATTACTATATTTATAACAATGTAAGAACAGACTATCTAAAGTAAATACCTAATATAGTTTTGATTTCAGAACAGTTCTTCTATTTTTAATAATTTTTTTAGAGAAGGGCTGAAAAATACATATTTTTTATTTATTTTTTAATATCTCTGAAACTATCGAAATATATTTATTCATATCTTAGAGTTATGTAAAGTGATCTGAAAGGAAGCCAAAAATGCAATAATATACAGGGTGTTCCATTTAAAAAAAATCATCCAGGTCCGCTCACACTTTTTTGAGCCACCCTATAGAAGTTAAAATATTTTCCTGAAACACATCCTGGTACATACTTTAGGTTTGCACTTAAACAAAATTCTCAAGTTTTTTATTCTAGGAGCTACAGATGCCCGACGCACTATTGCCGGACCCTTTATATGCTTTATAAACATTTTCGTTCTTGTAAAACGGCAGCAAATAAATTTAAAAAGTTTCTCCACTTTTGGCCGGTACTGTAGTTATTGGATGTATCATCCGAAAAATATACAATTTTATTTATTTACAATTTACGCTTTATATCTACAGGTTAACGCTATAGCACACCAAGTTTGGATGTTCCAACGATTCACCGTCGTGATGGAGTACGAACAAAAGCCCCTACTACCTCCTCCTTTTATACTGTTTTCTCATATTTTTCTTTTGATCAAATATATAAGGAGAAAAATGGAGGGTAAAGAAGAGAGTTACGACAACGGCCTGAAATTGTTTTTGGATAGGGACGAAATGGAAAGGTACTAAATAAAGCAATAGTAAAGAATATTCTGGCGATCGTTCAAAGTTATGTCATGTATTGTCGTACTCTCCCTACCATTTGACAACCAGATGAAAGAGATTGTTAACGTCATTACGGCATTTTGTAAATTACTGCACCTTGTTTCTGTTAATTGTCATGTGATTTGGGGTTTTATTAGCAGACATCGATCGATATCGAAATTAAAAATCGATTGTGCTGTCAAAAAAATTTAAATTTTTTATTACAAAAAAGCCCCATATCCTCACAGGCACACACTAACCGCCGGTGTTTTCAGGTACGGATAGCGTGTTATAATCTGCCAGATATATTTTATTTGACGGATAGCAGAAAAACGCGTACCTTCACCTATAGATAACAGTATCTATTAGATAAATTAAACTTATCTCCCAAATATCCTATCTGGCGCCCGAACTGCCAAATAGTGTTTTATTTGTCGGATAAAAATTTGACGCATGAGCAAAGGCATGAGGAGATATTGATTTTATTTGATATTTGACAAAACTGCTTAACATAATCAAGACATTGTTATTATTGAAGATTTCGTTTATTCCAATAAATTCGATTTTAGATTATTTGGAAAAGACTTACCTATTCTGAGTATGTAGGCTATAATAATTTTAGAACGTATGGGATATAAACACCAATAAACACATTGAAATGGTGCAAAAAACTATTGTTGCTAGTGCCAGATTTTATAAGGACTGTTACAAAATAAAGAGAGTCTCTGTTCTGTTAGAGCATCAGAACGAAGAGAATGCATTAAGTTAAGATAATAGTGATAAACAGTAATTTTTAAATTATTTTATTTAAATCCTTTCAATTATAAACCATTACTACATATTATATAAAATGCTAATGTTTATCTGTGTCGTCTCTACTGAAGTAACGACGTGCCCTAGAAAGTTGCTTTTTTTACTAAAAGATAGCTAAATGACTCTTCTAAAAACTGTCGTCGCCGGATTTTTTGTTTTTCATTTAATTAAAAAAAAATAAAAAGTATTTTTTTTCTTGATCTCGTGGCGGATGCGCCAGGCTTCAACTAGTTTTTAATAAAGCTCTAAAGTAGGTTAAAATTTATAATAATTTATAGTTAATATTATAAGAGGAACCTTATAAAACCTGTTATTCAACTCACATTTGCTTTTATTTCTTTTGTGTTACAATTTTAGTTTAATTTCTTGCTTAATGTACCTTATACCGTATGATCGAAAAAAAAACGGCGTCTAGTTAGCTGGGAAATGATGATCGATGATATTTCCCATATAAATTTACATATGAAATGACAGCAATCTTTATTTCATAGCCATTGCTGACGCCATTTTTTTCGATCATACAGTACATCTCTTCTCCATGCTGTTTTTTTAAGTAACTCTCTAGCTAAACCTTGCTAAAACATCTGTATTGTGGTCCTTTGAATTCCAGTTACTTCAACTTTGTTTAGACAAGATTTTTCCTTTATTTTTTCTTTTTTTTCTGAAGTTCCATCACTTTGAGTTCTTAAAAATAAAAGTAATATGACAAAATTATTTTTATTTAAATTTTTTTATTAAATAATTTGTACATATAATGTGTAAATGTAACAATTATTATAGGTACTATTCATTTATTATTATTAAGATAAAATTATAAGTGCATTTATCTATTTTATAAAATAAAAACTCACCTTACTTACTATCATTGATGCTATCCTACCTATTTCTTTACTATGAGAAGCCCTAGAACAACATATTTGTTATTACTAACAGTCTTATGCTATTTTTAATTTTCAATATTAATAACTTACCAGATGTTGGTTTTAGGATTGGTTTATAAATCTCTGCTTGTACTTCACCAGCTTCTTCCATATTTTCTATTATCAATTGTACTAAAATGTTAATATAACAGTAATATCATGTAATTAAACTATAAATTACTTACAGATTATTTTTTCTTGTTTTAATTTCTTATAAATCGCATTCCATCAATAGATCTATTGCACCACCCCCACTGCTGAAATTGAATTATCTTTCCCTTTTTCCATAAAGGTAAATTTAAATAGCCTATACCATAATAGGACTAGTTGGAGTTGAACACAAAATATATTTTATTTGAATTTTATTGTTTTTATTTTCATTTTGACTATCTTTTGACAACTGAGCAATATAACCTCACTTTTTAATCTAACGATTTGAAATTCCGAGTTTCTGTCTCTGTCTGTTGTATCGACTTTTCATATATAACCATCTCAATTTCAGATATCTTATATTGGCAACACTTTCTCTACGGAGTGTCTACCGGTCCATAGGCGGCCGTCCACCAAATTGTTATCTATTGGATTATTTTGTATGAAAATACCCAAATGTTATATCCTATAGATATCAGGCTCTAGATTGTTTATCTTTTAGATGGTTATTTGTTAGATAAAAGTTATTTATTTATAACTGAAGAGACCGCGCCTAAAAGGCATATTTGACAAATAATGATGATATACCAGAGAGATCGATATCCGCCAACAAAATTATAGTCTCAAATCACATGAGAATTACCAGAAACAATATGCAATATTTTTTTCTTGATATTAAAAGGCTCTCCTATGCCGGAGATACTGCGACTTGTAAAGCCTATTGGTATCTGTCACCCTTTCTATGTGATGTGTGATGGTGTAATCCTCACTATTTCATAAGTGTAGTAATTTACGAAATGCTGTAAATGCTTGTCAAGTAAAAGAACACATACATGACGTAACAATGAAAGATCATTGAACAAACTATACCATCAGGCACCATTATTATTTTTGGATTTTTTCTTGTAGGTTATACGATTTTGAAGAAGACTGCGTTGAGGGTTACTTTGCAGAGCAAGAGAATAAGCTACAACAATCCACTGAAGAAAGAATTAAAGTTACCACTGAAAGGATAGAGCATTTAACACAGGTACTATTACAAAAATTAGATTGTATAAATTTTTTATTGTTATTGAATCCTTTTTAAATAAACAAATTTTATCTATTATTATCCATTGCTTACAGAAAGTCGAAGATATTCACACCAAAGAAAATATGCAAACAACTGTTCTACAAAACCTAGAGGTGCGTTGTAGAAAATTCACCGAACAACTCACGGATATCACCAACGAGTTCGAAGTACTTAAACAGGTCGTTCACAGGCAACAATCGGTCAATCTCATCACACCACAAGCCACACTTGTTGGTAAGTACTGAAATAAGTAGTGAAAAACCTTTACTAATTCTGTCTTAATTCTATCAGCACAAGACTCGAGGGAAAGGACCGTCAGTGACAAGTCTGACGTGTTCTCCGAAGACGAATCGTCAGTGATCAGTCATTTATTGGCCGGTCAAGCTGTCAAAAGAAAGACAATAGTCCGATCGCTGACGGAAGTCAGGCCAGATGCGTACATCTTTGACAACGGAGAGCACATCGAGTATCGATTTAGCGGCGAGGGTGATGACCAAGACAAAACAGAACCTCAGGATAATGTGTCCGTACAGGGTGAGTGCCTTTTGAGTAATTATAAGGCTATATCATCGATGTAAAGCTTATTTTTGAAGTGAAGCTTTTTTATGCGCTCTGGGAGTAAAAATTCAAGGCCGTGACACACGAGCTCGTGGTAATAGCTTAGAGATACGTAGTGTCGCGACGTGTGTTTGTGGGCAGACCACGTGTCTGTCACAAAAATTGATATTCTAATACAAATTTTGTGAAAAAGCAAAATGTGCCAGATGCACAGATTCTGTGCAGATTTTAGGGCTGCGGCTGATAATGTCTGTCTTAAGAGAGTTCCTTTATTTTGTGTTAATTTGTAGTTATTTTTTTAAGGCTGTGGCTGATAATGTCTGTCTTAAGAGGTTTATCTTTTTGTTTTTTTTTCGGTTTGGTATAATAAAGTACCTACATCATTAGAATTCGAACGAATTCCACCAGAGGACGCTAGGTTTATATATACTTTAGACGTTTCCATAAGATGTCGCCAAAAATATTACCCTCTATCAAAATCTATTACCATTTTCAATGGGAACTTGTTACCTTCTGCCACATCAATCTGGCAACGCTGAAGCATATATGTAGGGTTTTTTGGCCCCCTTTTCCGCTACTCGTATTTTTGTTCATTTATTATATGTACAGGGTTGTTCACCACATACGACACGGAGTATTGTAGCTAAACGATGAGATTTTTACAAATTGTAAGTTTTGGGTTCGATGAAGGACTATTAGAAGTACAATTTAAAAATAATTTTACAAGATACTGAGTGTCCCAAATAAGTAAAAAATATCAAAGTTGTATTTTTTTAAATGGAACACCCTGTATATTATTTCATTTTTAGTTTCTACGATTAAAATAAATGTAAATTTGATTAAGGTTTATTATACTTAAACCTTACCGTTTTTGAAATATTTTCAATTTTGTGAAATTGCAGTAAAAATTTTAAGGCTTCATTTCTCCAATGGTATCAAAGTTTTTAATACTAAATATTTACTGAAGTTTATTTATTGATCAGTTATTTTGTTGCAATAATAAAAATAATACTACCTTATACAGAGTGCCTAAAAATTTATTTTAAATAATTATTAGCTTCAAATGGCAATAACTTGTTTCATTTAAACGGAACACCTTGTATATTTTACGAGAATCAGATGCACAATTTAATTGTCTATCAAATTATATTATACCATTTTTTACCTATCTTTTTAAGTTTCCATAGAAAATGCATTTTCTTGTAATTTAGAACTTATTTATCAATATACCCATGGAATATTGACATTTTAGATTATTTTTAAAGATGTACCAAATTTTTAAAGAGTACAGATACTAATATTGTCGATATAATTTGTTTATTTTATTAAAAAATAAAAAAAAACTGTTTAAATATTTGTTAAAGGGGACCAATTAATATGATTCCAGTATTCAAACTACATTAACTGACTGTTTGCGTTGATTAATAATAATTGCTCCAAATACTAAAAAACTGAATTTTGTATGGGTATTAGACAGTGTGATAAAAAGAAACACCTTAAAAATGATTTTTTAATAAATACTTATTTATAACAACAGAGACTTTAATTTTGATAACTTATTATTATATTGATTTCTGACTCAAATCCACATTTATTTATAATAATTTATTAACGAACACAATTAAGTATGTAATTAATTAGTATATGGGCGGAAATAATGGTGTTATATTTAATTAATGGTATACTCTTTTATAAAGATTTAAATAGTTTTCTTTTTGCATACAAATGGGCTAGTAATATTATCGTTTTGCTAAAAACGATAATATTACTAGCCTGTACATTTTGTACATTTGTTGCTTTACAAAAAACAGTCTAAAATGTCAATATTCCATGGGTATATTGATAAATAGGGTCTAAATTATAAGAAAATGCATTTTCTACGAAAACTTGAAGGGATAGGTAATAAATGGTATAATACAATTTGATAGACAATTAAATTGTGCATCTGATTCTCCTAAAATATACAGGGCGTTCTATTTAAATTAAAGAAGTTATTGGCGTTTAAAGCTAGAAATTATTTAAAATAAATTTTTAGACACTCTGTATAAGGTAGTATTATTTTTATTATTGCAACACAATAACTGATCAATAAATAGACTTCAGTAAATATTTAGTATTAAAAACTTTGATACCCTTGGAGAAATGAAGCCTTGAAATTTTTACTGCAATTTGCCAAAATTGAAAATATTTCAAAAACGGTAAGGTTTAAGTATAATAAACCTTAATCAAATTTACCTTTATTTTAATCGTAGAAACTAAAAATGAAATAATATACAGGGTGTTCCATTTAAAAAAATACAACTTTGATATTTTTTACTTATTTGGGACACTCTGTATCTTGTCAAATTATTTTTAAATTGTACCTCTAATAGTCCTTCATCGAACCCAAAACTTGAAATTTGTAAAAATATAATCGTTTAGCTACAATACTCCGTGTCGTATGTGGTGAACAACCCTGTATATACCCTACCTAAGCCTTCTTAGATCTACGGTAACGTGGATGAAGCAAGCAAAAAAATATTTGTTGCAAGTAAAAATACTATTTTTATTAATTCTTTATTTTACGCGTATAAAACTATTTGTTACACATAAAAAACTATTTTTTAAGCGTAAAACACTATGTTACACGTAAAACTAACCAAGTAGCGTAGAACTAAGCTCTGTAAAAGTGTAAGCTCTGTCTCTCAGGTAGTAGCTTTTGTCAAAGCCCTTAGACTGTATGATGATTTATAACCTTAGATCATATTAGAGTAAACAAGCGTCGTTACACAATGGAAATAAGATTGACATATTATGATTATGACAATATGATGACAATGAAAAGTTGGTTTCCATAACAATGTATAATTTGTACTTTCTAAACCTTTCTAAACCGTATCGACTCGAGAAATCTTTGAAAAATTTATATGCTTATATTTTTATATACGTATATTTTTTATTTTATTCATTTTATGGAAAGCACTGTTCATTAAAATGTTGTATCCTATGTTATAGGGCTTGTTTCTCTCTACAATTTCCTGTCTCACAATGTACCGTTTGTGTCGGGGAAGGGATCATAGTTTCATAGTTGTCGATTTTCTCATTTTTTCAAAGAGAATTTGAATTTGAGAAATCAGGACTCATACAATTGTGATTATTTGGGAACTACTTGCAGCTTTTAATGCGCATGCGTAAAGTAAGGCCCTCGAGAAAGACAAACCTATTGAACCTTTCGTAAGTGCAATAAAGAAGGTTTGAAAATGGCATGTCGTGATGTTGGAAACATATTTTTTAATGTTGATTTATCCACGTAAGTATATATGATCTAGGTTTATAACTCATTATTCATTATAACTGAAGAGAGGGGGACACAGTAGATCTGTAAAGCGCGGTGATTAACCCCCACCCATGGAAACAGTTTTAGTCAAAAATGTTTTTGACTAAAACTGTTTTGGTCATTTTGTAGCTTCAGCCTAAGGGTACGAACATAGTGGAGGCAGGTTTCTGCTTTCCGGCAACCAGCGCCGTCTCTGGGGACCTATTCTTGACCACTCGCATCTTCAAATATCGCTCGCATTTCGCATCTCCTAAAAAGCCATATAACAATACACAGATGCGTAACTTTGCGTATATGCATCACGTGTATTGTATATGGCTATTTCGGAGATGCGAGAAGGATTCGGAAGTAGATAATTAAGAGGAAATTTACCCGATTAACTAACCTAACCTAACCAAACCATATGCAAACGCCGCGCCCGCCTCGCCGGGGCCGCACATAGATGTATTTGGTCTATAAACCTGACCAAAAGTGATATTTTTTTATTTTCATTTTTTATCTTAACTGAATACAAATCTATAAATACTAAATGTAAGCACGTTTATTAGTTATTAGCTTTTTTAAGTCGTAATTTGACTATCAAATAAATAATATATTTCAGTTAAAAGTATGAATTATCTTGAGTGTATTCTGAATATTTCTAAGATTATAAAAATAGTGGAATTGTTTGTAGTGCTTTTTTTGCAAATTGTTCATAATAACTGTCATGATGGATATAGAGCCAGCTTTGTTTGTTTGCTCTGTTCTGTTTTATGCCATATTTTTATTTTGAAACGTTTCCTTCTATTCTATTTTTTTATAATGTTTTATATTTAAAAAATCAGTGGCATTTTTATAAGGTGTAAGACTATTCGGCAATATTCCGCATGGAAATTAGTATCCGTTCAATGCTTAAAGTCTCCAGCATTGGAATATGCACAAAAATCTTGCCAATATTTGCCACTGCCAAAAAAACATTGATTTAAATAGATTCTTAAAGAAAATAGTCTTTACCCTATAATACCCATCTTCGCTTAAATATCATCTATAATATACAAATTACTTTTTTGTTCTAGCATCCTCATCCAATTGCTTGGTTTTGCACAGAATGGCCCTATTTGATCGGTGGAAAGGATTTCAGAGTAGAGGAAAAATATTATGTAGGAAAAACAAAATGGGGTTCCATATTAGCAACCTCTCCTCTAATTAATAATTAATATTACTAGCAAAAAGGCAAAAAAATCATAAAACATAATTTTGGCCAACTTTTAGTTCTTAATACCCCCTGTGCGCCGTCGGTCGGCGCGTGCAAAAGCAGAAATAAATAAATTTTCGTTCCGGTAAAAGCGAGAACGCCGATGAACGCTGGTTGACGGTGCCTGCCTGCTTTCACTGTGAACTAGCCGATTTGATAACACGCTTTAATTTTTCAAGGTTATAAGCGCGAGGCGGCGCGGCGCGGCGCTACTATGTAACCATATACAGGGTATCCCAGAAATAAGTGCAAGTATTTTAACTTAACTGGTAGTATAGTTCAACCCCAGAAACACGCCCATGAGGTTTTTTTCTAAATATTTTTTTGGAAAATTCGGAATTTTTTGAAAATATTTTTGGAATTTTTTTGCAACTTTTTTTAGTTTTTATTTAAAAAAAATAATTTCTTGATAATATGGCAACATAGGTAGTAGATTAAATTTACAAGAAAGAAAATCCAGAAAAGATCCAGTGGTTCTCAAACAAATCTCGAAGTATTGGAAAGAATGTATAAGGACCAAGAACTATTGACTACAATAAAACGACGGAAAGCAGCATATTTTGGTCATATTTTTCGAAATAACAAATATAGTTTCCTACAGCTGATCGTTGAGGGAAAGATTGAAGGACGACGAGGCATCGGGCGTAAACGGTTTTCCTGGTTGCGGAATTTGCGCCCGTGGTTTAATATAGGAGAGGCCAGTGCAATTATCCGTTTGGCTCAAGACAAGGAGGAATTCCAATTGGTGGTCGCCAACCTCCGATGAGGAGAAGGCACATGAACAAGAAGGTTCTCAAAATTTTAGCAAAAAATATTTTTTTTTTGGAAATTTTCAAAGCAAAATAACTCCATTATTTTGGACTTATTTGAAAAACGATAAAGAGAAAATATGTTTCTTTTATCGAGATCTACCACCCTTTAAAATACTTGCACTTATTTCTGGGATACCCTGTTTATAACAATACACGTGATGCGTATACGCAAAGTTGCGAACGATGTCAAGAATAGGTGCCCAGATTGGCGCCGACTACCTGTAAGCGGCAAACCTGCTTGCACTGTGTTCGCACACTAACGCTGTATATTGTATTTTTTTTATCTTGATATAGGTAGCAGGTCGAAGTTGAACTTGATGCGGCAGAGAACAAAAAGTTCCGAATCAAAGACGTCCATAGATAGCGATCGGAATTCCATAGATATTTCTGCGGATGACATCGCAGCATTAAGTTTGGACATATTGCGCAGTAGGGCTGCGCAAAAAAGAAGAGACAGCGAGACAACGAGAAGAGGGTCCGAGAGTGGAACAGGTAAGAAGTTATATTTTTTAAAATTTGTTTCCCCACATTTATTTGTTTTCTCTATATTATTTCCATATTTATTAGAAGATATTTAGATAGATATATTAATTTCTCACTGTAATACACTGTATATTAATAATAATATTGTACATACCTATATTAATTATTGAATATTTGACTCTTTTTTTAGGGAGTATCAAAAATATATCTCTTATTTTTGAACGAAAAAAAAATATTCTGCTATATATTTATAATAATTGTGGAAAATATGATTACACTGTTTTGGAATTAGTACTTACCTACCAATAATTTCAGTCACATTGCATTATACCCTTGTTTATATATTCTTAAAGTTGTTCAACCGACTAGACAAAATGTGCTGCCAACTGGAGGACAAATCGTGAACCTTTCGGGGCGGAGTCAAAAATATCGATTATTTTCGTTATTTTCCTCAGAGTAATGTAATAATATAGCCCGGGTTTCTGCAAACTTAGTAATAATAGTGATCAGCTGATTAAGAAATTTAAACGAAACTTTTATTTTATTGTAAATTGTGGATTATTTTTGTCTGTTATTTTAAGAATTCTAAACCGTATTAACAAAGAAATTATTATTTCGATATGTTGGTACATTATTTATAATTTATGATAATGCTCATTGCTATTAATAAATTTTTAAAGAAAAGTTACATACCTATTTTAGTTTGATTTAATGCAGGTTTATAAAAGAATCATTTCATTCTTAGATTATTTTATTCTAAATTGAGTGCTTTACGAATTTTACGATATTTTTTTTTGAAAACATAAAACTTTTTACATTTTTGATGCCAACTAATATGTCATGGTATTATTGGTATGGGAATTAGCCAAGAAAGAAAACAATTGGCTATAACTTGTAATTTTTCGAAAAAAAAACATATTATACCTATATCGCTGAAAAGTGATCGGGTTTTCTAGGGTTTCCATTTAAAAAAAAAACATAATGTTTGTGTCATATGTCAAAAATGACAGGCTTTAGAAAAAAAAACAGAAAACACAAACTCATTAGGTATGTGATTATCTACAACTTTTATCGATCGATGATATCTTCCGATCGATGATATCGATGATATTTCTCATATAATTTTACATATAAAATGACAACGATCTTCATTTCATAGCCATCGTTGACGCCGTTTTTATTCGATTATACGGTAGATTATAATGGTATTAGAGACAAGTTTTAAAATAGCCAAAATTTGTTTTTTTCGAAATGTCTAGTAAGCCTTGAACTTCTCCGAAAAATCCGAAAGGCGCATATTTATGACCCCACAAAACTGCAATTCTTTCCCCATTTAACCGACTCTCTATCTCCAGTAGTTTCCGAGATACCCATATAGAGAACATCGTAGAAACTCACCTTGTATAGTATTTAGAAACTAACATTATTATTATTTGACTAGATTAATTTGATTAATAAGACTCGATTAATTTAATTTAAAATAAATTTGATCAGATTTTTTTTTCGTATATTCTACTAACAGAAAATCAAAATTATATGATAACGCACTTTTCAACGAAGTTGAAGGAAGATATAGTGTATCTATCACAATACTTAATAGAATTACTACAATTAAAAGAAAAACAAAAAGAAAAAATACCCAAATACCTTCACCTACTACTCATCTACAAAATAAACGAATATAATCTCTTATAACAACACTACACAACTACTTCTTGTATTCTACACTGAAAAAATTATCAAACTTACCAATTAATCAAACAAAAAGAAAAAATAACCAAATTATCCCTTCACCTACTACTTAACTACAAAATAAACTATAAAAACACTACTACTAAAGTATTTCTGGTATTCTACACTAAACATTATAATTAAACTTAAAAAAAATTAACCCAATTTTACACGACAACCACTACAACTACAAAGAAATAAGAACATTTCTTAAAACTAGAAGAAACAGAACTTCGATACGTGCAACCAGTATAATAGATCAAGCGGACAAAGAATATAAAATACTTTAAAAATGTGCATTGAGAAAGATAAAAATATCTCGAAAATTATCTAAACAAACATTTTTTTTTTCTCATCAGTGAAAAACATCGGCCTCGTCGGCCTTGCGGAATTTGTCGGGTATTTACAATGGTCGAATTGTATAATTACCAGCTTTTATAGCATATCTAATAGACAAAAAGTATCTGGTCGATTAGTAACCAATTGGCACAGTCCGAAAATTATCGATTTTTATTTTCTCTGTTTTTATTGGTCGCTTCAAAATTCAGAGTAACAAAAAATATTTTTCTGTAGTAAAAGACTGTGAAATACGCCCCGCCATCTGGTGCTTTACATCCATAAACGTCTTAGGTTGAGCTACTTTAAAAATTCATATACAAGGATTATACTTAACAGTATGATTAATTTAATTACTAATTAATCTGATAACTGACATTGCTAATTTTAAATTAATCAGAATGACCGTATAATATTCAAACACCGATGATATAGTAAATTCCCCTGCATGTATAACATGCGTGCATTATATGTAGATATTAAGCTTGTATTTTTTAATGGTAACCATTAAACAGTAACTACTAATAACTATTAAATATAATAACTTTTGTTAAGTATTTTTATACCGTGCTTGCTTCTTAAATATAAATTTTAACTGTTCTATTTAGTTGCTGTATACAGGGTGTCCCAGAAATAAATGCAAGTATTTTAAGGAGTGGTAGATCTCGATTAAAGAAACATATTTTCTCTTTATCGTTTTTCAAACAAGTCCAAAATAAGGAATTATTTTCCTTTGAAAATTTCAAAAAAAAATGATTTTTTGCTAAAATTTTAAGAACCACTGGATCTTTTCTGGATTGTCTTTCTTGTAAATTTAATCTAATACTTATGTTGCCATATTATCAAGAAATTATGTTTTTTAAATAAAAACTAAAAAAATTACCAAAAAATTTCGAATTTTCAAAAACAAAATTTCGTGGAAAAAAACTCATAGGCGTGTTTCTGGGCTTGAACCATAGATTTAGGAAGAACAGATATCACATTTTGCATTTTAACCCGATCAAACAATCGGAGGTTGACTACGTACTGTAAAAACCAACTGAGATAGAGAAGGCGACATTGCCACATCTCAAATTTGCGCCTATCTACTTAGTTTGATTTGCAGAAAAGGTGACTTTAAAACCTTCACCGGATATCAATAAATCTCAATTTCTTTAATTAAATTTATAGTTTATTTTTAAAGAAGCATGCGTAATAATATGTTATTAACCAGAGGATATATGCGTTACTATTAAAAGACATGTTTACTGTTTAATGTGCTGAAACGTCTAGAACTATTGGCAACGTCGCTGCTAGTCTTCCAGAATGAAATGAGCCGTCCGTCCCACCACCCCTCGCGACGGCCCTTGATCCGTTATAGCGTACTACGTTTAGCTTACGGTGTGTTTGAAGTCGGAATCAAGTCCAAAGTGAACTTTTCAGTGTTTTTCAGTATTTTTGCTTTTGTTTAACGTACTTTTGAATCTGCGAATTTTCAATATGGTACGATTGTGGTACGACAGTGTCAAATGTGTGGAAAAATAAGCTCAAATTACCCGAATTTGTCTTTTCACAGGTAGGTTTCCGCCGCGCCGTAATCGCCGTACATAGGCGTCCCACAAGGGAGCCTCTCACAATTAAAATAATTTCTAATTATATTTGTTGAATTTTGAGCTATTAAAACAAGAACGTAGTAGCCAGTAATTGAATTATAATTCGTCTCAATTACTACTTAACTGTTGTAGATCATAACAAATTTGAATATAAACGTTGCATTTGTTATAACTTTATTATAAGCCAGAAAGTGACATTTTTTTTCTTAAAATTGCGTCATATTTTGGTCATTATATACGATATTCTAAAGGAATTTTGCTCAACAAATAAACAAAGGTGTTTACCCGACCTTTTTTACATTTTATTGCTTTATTATATCTTCCCCTTCGGTCTTGTTTAGACAATTTTTTACCACCGTACAAATACATCTTCCTAGAGTTATTTCTACGGTGTGTTTAACTTTTTTTAGAATGGGACGAACTGTAAATAATTCTTAGGTTACTAGTTTTATACATATCTATATAGAGAGTGACCCAGGCCTCCAAAAAAGCTTTTTACCTATTACCTTTTTTGTTTGTGATTTTTATTTCATTTTTTACATAAGATGCGGGCCATTGTAACGCACACATTTTCCAAATATTTTTTGTCAACATACAGGCTGATTCAAACCGCAATACATATTGTTATACAGTGCAATCTCTCCATTAAGCACAATAAATTTGATTATGGTTGATGAAAGCTACCTTTAGAATCTTGGAATTTTGCTTAATACAATACAGACCGCTTCAATTAGGTAATTCATTCATTTGTGCGACAGAAAATCACATTACTGTGCCGCACATATTTTATACTTTTAATGATAAATCCTTCTATTGAGAGACTAAGAGGTAATTGCCTCGTATCCGAGCCATCATAATACAAGAAGAAGTCCGAAAGTCAAATCTTGTCTTATATTATTCAAAAAAAACAAACACAACTTTCTCACTAAATACATTTGTGATTATTAGGATAGGAAGGTTATTTCAATAAATACAATTCAAAACAAACTATTACAGATGCGAGACTTAGCATTGAAGCTATCGAATTCGCGAACATAACTAATCGTTAGCTAATTACTTAATTTTCAAAAAAGTTCTAAAATTATTTAAAAAAAAAAAAAAAAAAAACTAAAACCTAAACTATCGATCTTGCTAGAGTTAACGGGAACTGTTGCAAATAATGGGCATTATTATCTTAAACTAATCGAAGAATAATAATTTTAAGTTTATATTAACACTCTCTATATTTACCATCATTTGGACCGAAGAATGAAATATTTCTGGCTTTGTGTAGCGTAATTTTTTTCAGGGAAATACGTGAGAATAAAAAGGACTGAGTTTAGAGTTCAAAAAAAGTCACAAGGACAAGTT